CACACACACACACACACACACACACACACACACACACACACACACACACACACACACACACACACACACATCTGCCGATGCAGGAAGTGGGGGCAGATTCATTACAACAACCCCAGAGGATGTCGCGGCCCACATCAGTCAGTGGCAGCCGAAAGGGGCCGAAGACGGACGGAACACGGAAAGCTGTCAAAAAATAAATTGCCGGAAGACTCACCGCGATCAGAAATGTGTTTCTGTCTCCATAGCAACACGCCGACAGCTGCAGAAACCAGGGGCACCAGGAGTAATAAAGCAGAGAGAGGAAGCAGCCGAGAGGGGGTGGTGACACTGACGCTCTCTAGACAAGGAACAAAAAAAGTGAAAAAGGACAAAAGAATTAATGTTTTTGAAAAGAAAAGAAAAAGTGCAAATGTAAAACTCCGACAGCAGTGAGTGTCTGCAGTGAAATGACCCAACGGCTGTCCAGGAACTTGTCAGTGTTTGTGCTCTGGTTTGTTCATCTGTTCMGGTCAGAAGTGATGAGCAACCATGTGTCTGTCTGAACACTTCAAAATGCATTTTGAGACGTGTTGCAGATGCAATTTTCCCAATGTGTTACATGCATTTGCATCATTCTGCTGCCAGTCAAAGACAATGAATGCTTGTGAAAGATGGGGAGGAAATCTAGGCTTTCCCGAGCAGAGTGTGTAGTTTGTGCGGAAGCTTTGCCGACATCGATCTGTCTGGACCCTGCTAATTTAGATGGGAGGGGGGGAAATGCAAAGACAGATTGGACACAAAATCACAGGAAACGCCACTTTTAAACTAAGCTGTGTTTACAAAACTTAACTATTCTATCAGTACTTTTCTATGGGGCGACAAGTGCAAAATAAAATGTTAAAAAATGTCACTAACACATTTTTATTATTAGCTCTCTTTCTGAGTGAAAAACCCTAGTTAAAACATTTACACTAACATTTTATTATTTAGCTCAATGTTCTTACATTTTGTTAATTTTAAAATGAAATGTTAAATCTGATACACACAAAAATGTCAGTGCTAATTTAACACCCACAGTGTTAATTTCAGCACCAACAAAATGTCTATATGTGTACACACTCGCTGGTGTTAAGATACCATTTGGGAATTTGTTAAATTTTAACACCAATTTTTTTGTTAATTTCTCACCAACCAMAGTATAATGGAGTCACCCTTCACACACCAGGAAGTACCTCTCACTCATGGTGTCGATCTTTGGCCAATAACATAAACTTAAACTTGAACAGTTTGATCAAACTGAACAAGACAACTTACCAGAACAACTAATTTTTACTCTCATGAACTTTAAGTCATAAACATGCAAACACATCATTTCTACAAGATTACCCAACATCCCTTTGCTGAGAAAATACTGATCTGACATGAGGTGGAAGTGGGCGGGGCTTTTCAGAATACTTCTTTCAACACTGCATAACTACGGAGCCTGCGAGGGGACATGGGAGATTTTTTTCTTTTGCGTTCCTACCTTTTGTGTTCCCTCGCGAAAGTCGATCACTGTCGTGCCTGCTGGTTTATTAACAAACTCAGATGTTCACCATTAGCGAGTTATACTACTGCTTTAATTCATCTTCAGAATGAATATATCACACAGCCACGCATGACATGCCAATATTTTAACACAGTGCAGCCACGCAACATAAATGTCATTTTCACGAACTTGTGGCGACACATCCTGTTTTAGTAACTGGATATTTCAAAATAAAAATCTGATTTAATTCAGTTCATATACAAAACAATCTTTTGCGTGAGAATGCAAAACAATATTGCGAGGTTACACAAAAGTATTGCGAGGTAACGCAAAAGTATTGCTAAGTATTGCTAAGACTACAGTTACCTATAGGTCAGTTTAAATCAACTTTACATGAGCTTCATCTACCATCTCAGACCTGTCATTGCTAGCCACATGTTTTATAAAATTGAGTACGCTTTGTGCTATGTTTTTGTGCTACAATATATGTTTTTGTTTTTATTTATTTTGTATGTGTTATATCTTTTGTGATTTATTTTCTATGATATTTGGATATGTTGTTTGTATGATGTTTTGTTTCTTCTTTTATCTTTTCCTTATGGGAGTCTCTGGTACCCACCAAGCTGACATTGCAAATAAGAAGCTCTTCTTAATGTTTTTGCCTGATTAAATAAAGGTTAAATAAAAAAATTGCAAGGTAACGCAAAGGTATTGCATGGGAACGCAAAAGAAAAAAATTCCCCCGTGTCCCCTCGCGGGCTCCGTATATAACAACACTGTTAAGTGTTATATAAGACTTAACTGTGGGCAGAGCTTATTTAACACTGAGGAAATCAACACTGTGAATTAACACCAACACTGGGTGTCAGTTTACTCAGAAAGTGTTAAAATAACACTAGGGGGTGTTAAATCAACACTGAAAAGTTTAACACTGAAATTTTAACACTCCTGTTTTTGCTTTGCACAAGTTACATTCTGCCACATGTTATTTTGGAGAATACTACAACAGTGTAGCATCAAGTATAAACACCTACACCGCTGTGGAGGGCGAGCCCATGCCCTGCGCGATTACCCAAAGCGCAACTTTAACTCAGCCTTAAAGCTTCTCCACAAGACATCAAACTTGAAGTTGCACCTGTTGTCTGCTACACTTCAAACTGCTGGACCACAGGACCACTTTCCATATTTTTTCAATGAAAACATTCCGTATTAAAAATTTAAATGCCATCTTTGACAGCGTCAGCAGCGTTAGCCTTTGCCTTATAATGATGATGTCACATACCAGCTCCAACAGCAAAGGCTGTTCCACTCTGGAATACTTAACGTTTAAGATCTAACTTTTACATTTAGTTGTTATGATTTAGTATATACATATATTATTCAWCAATTAAATTGAACATTTAGTAAAAATTAGCAAAATGTAAAAACATCGAGCTAAACAACAATACTGGAAAAGTTTCAATGAGGATTTTACACTCAGWGAGTGAGCTAAATAATGAAAATATGTTAGAGACATTTTTTTAACTTTTCATTTCACACTTGGCGCCACATAATTTTCTAAACATATGTGATAAAATCCACAGACGTTCTCCTTTTGGCTCCACTGACATTTGATTCCAGCATCAAACTGCCTCCAGGCAAACTCACAAACGATGCAGACAACAGCCTCTCAGTCGCTGCGTGTTGTTGGAAATAAACAGGTGCGGCAGGAAGCAGACCTGATGGAAATCACAAACATTACATAAGAGCATTTTTAGTTTGTGTCAGGCAAATTTAGAGGGAAGAGCTCTTGTTTGTGGAAAAAAAAAGAAAAACTTGTTTGCATAATGAAGATGACATCAGTCTTGCAAAACACACCCGAAGGGTGAGATGGGAAGTGCTCTGTTGCCGTCTGCTCACAAAGCAATCAGACCTACCAGAGATCTTTGGATTACAAAAAAAGTCAGAAATAATAAAACAAAAATGACTTTTGAACAAGTCATTTTCAGATGCTGGTCCACTCTCGCTCCAAATGTTGTTTAAAAAAAGGACTGACCCTCGAGTCTCGCCTCAACCTTGGTGTCACAGCTTTTAGCCAGCTCCAAAATGATCAGTCATTATGTGCTGCCTGAGGTGTAATTGATTGGCGAGTATGTGTAGAGGTTGCTAATGGAATATGGTGGTGAGAGCTGACCCCAGGTCTGCCCTGCACTCTTCTCCAGGCCAGATTTAGTGCATGCATTATGTTAATTGAGTGCAGCGAAGTGAGGCATACAGTAAATACCCCCAGTTTCTTCATTTTTTTCTCTCTTCTTTCTCCTCTCCATCTCCTGCTTTCTCTGCAATTTCTCCCCAACTCTTCTTTTCCATCTCAAATGAGGTAGGGGGTGATTTATATCACGGTAATTGTAGAGTAGATGGATCGGACGCAAACCGGAGAGAACTGCTTGAATGCTTTTCAAAGGATGGGCAAAGTGAGGTTAGCACATGATTGCAGAAAATTCCTGACATTTGGAGTGTTTTGTGTGCTGCAGAGCACAATGATTGTTTCAATTTTGCCTTCTTTGTACACCTCCATCAATAAAAAAAAAATTCTATTATGCAGTGGTATTTTAACTTGTACGTTTTTAAGATTTGACTTATCAAGTATAGAGATCCAAAAAAAATGATAAATGGGATTTTTGCTTTCTGTTATTTGGTTTTCTGAGAAGTTTTCTTTCAGGGAAAAATGCATAAAAAAAATCTCAAGCTTTACTTATTTTTTAGAAAACAAAAACAACTATTTATAAACCAGCACCTGTCACTGCTTATTTTATTATTCATCATGAACCGCAGATTTTTGTGCCATCTTGCACATTTGCAGTATTTGTGCAGCCTGACACTTTAAACATTGTTATGTAGGTCACTCACATTCTTTCAACTTCAGATTCAGCATTTCTCATAGAAATCACAAATGTAATGATTACCATCTAATCCAGCTTTTGCCATTAGGAAAATCTCAGACATTTTCCTCTGTAGATTACTTTTAAGAGCTTTACAAACATAATCAGCTCGGATGTATTTTATTGTGTTGTGCTGTAATGGGTTGGGGTTCAGGGAGTGAACTCATCTCTGCTAAGGGATCCATTTAACTGTCACATCCTCCTGTGCTACCCCCACAGCTACCAATACAATAAGCCTGAATAATTTAGTTTTTGTGAGGAGAGATGTCCTAAGGTCCCATCTTATTATATTCACATATTAGCTGGATGATGGGAAAAAAAGATAGCTTTTATATATTTTTTATGTTTCAGTGAAAACGGTGCAGGATTTACTTTTTATTTATTTATTTTTAYAAAGCACTGAAATAAACATAGAACGCTGGATATTATCTCAAGTCTGTGTTACACAGAAACATTGACCTTTGACCCCTTGAGCATAAAGACAGCTCGACATATGGCATCCGTCTGGGGCATTCTCATTTTTAAACCAGAGGCTTTCTGGCAGCTGAACTGACCTGTGGTCAGATTTCGTGCACCACAGAATGCTTCGTGGAGCACACGTTGAAGAATTATCCACACTCATGGTTCATTATCCCAACCAAGTGGACAGGAAGTCTGCAACAGCTCTCTGACACTAATTAAATACACTTAGAAGCCAAAAAATACACTTAAAAAGATGTATTGCTCGTAAAAAAAAATGTATTCAATACTGAGAGCTAAATGACTTTACTGAAATTAGCTGAAGAAGTAACTGATTAACAAAAGCTAAAAGAAGCACTGGATGAAAGCTAAAAATGAGCAAAACACTAGCCAAAAGTTATCAATGCTAAGCCAAAGGAAGATGAGCGCTGTATAAAAGGCAAAAATGGTAAAACATTATGGTGAAGTAGCAAAAGTTAGTAAAAAATTTTGAAGTAGCAAAAGTTGAGCTTAAAAGCTAAAAGTAGGAAAATGCTAGGTAAATGTTAAAGGAGCAAAGGCTAGCTAAAAACAGTAAAGATTTAGCTTAAGTASAAAAAAGTTAGCTAACAGTACCACACTGTCTGGTTAACAACACAATGATCAGACACCAGACTGAGGACAAGACACCAAATATGAAGGGAAACTAATTGGAGACAACAAGAAACACCTGGAGGAGACACAAAGGAAAACAGGTGAGCAAGGGCAGGGCTGGAGGCAAGACAACAGGGCAGAGATACACAGGGGAACACAAACACTAGAAAAAACTAAAGCAACAAGACACAGACAGTGACAGGACCTCTCCCTCAACGATGGCTCCATATGTCAAAAAGGGAGAGGTATGGGACTCAGGACAAGACACAGAGTTCAGGAGGACAGCCCAAAGACCATCCAACACATGGCAGAGGATGTGGAGGGCGGTCTGGGAACCACTCAAGGCCCAAGAGCATAGCAGGAGCAGTCGTGGAGCCACGGGAGGAGGTGGGAGACGATGAGGAGCTGGCAGAGGTTGATGGAGCCAGAGGCTCGACAATGGCGAACAACAGAGGGGACGAACAGGCGATGGGCGACGACCCAGTGCCTCCTCTTCACCTGGGTCGTCGCCCAACGCCTGTTCGTCCCCTCTGTTGCCTGTGTTCACCATTCTGCCTCCATCAACCTCCGCCGGCTCCTCTTCTGCTCCTGCCTCCTCCCTTGGCTCCATGTCTGCTCCTGCCTCCTTCCTTGGCTCCACATCAGTTCCTGCTGGGCTTCCTGTTCCTGCTGAGCACCGCATGTGATGGTCACCTGGCCATCTTCCTGAACTTCTGTGTTTTGTCTTTGAGTTCCCCTGCGGTGTTTCAGTCCCCTGAGTCCTGTACCTCTCCTTTTCGACGTCGGGAGCTGTCGTTGAGGGGGAGGTCCTGTCACAGTCTGTGTCTTTTCTGCTTTAGTTTTCTAATGTTTCAGTGTTTCTCTGTGTGTTCTGTCATYCCTCCTGCCCCGCCCYTACTCACCTGATTCATCTTTCATCTCCTMCAGGTGTTTCTTGTTGTCTCGTTAAGTTCTCCCTTTATATCCTGTGACCAGTCTTCAGCGTTTGTCCGATCATTGTACTGCTTTCAGTCAGTGTGGTGTCTCTCCRTATTCCTAGAGAAGAGTTCTTGTGAGTATTTTTTTGCTGCCACGACAGCCCTCTTTTGTTTATTAAATACTTTGTTTTTGAATTTTGGAGTTTTGCCTGCACCCTGGGTTTTTTCCTGTCATGCACCTCACAAGTAGAAGTACGCTGAAGCAGATTTCAAAAAGAACAATGTTTTCTAAATGATCTTTGTGTATTTATAGGAGTAGTATTTAGGCATAAAGTTAAATATTTTGTAAAATAAAAAGTTATAAAACCAAAAAGTCATTACTCTCATGTCCTGAATGGAGCTAAACATTTTGGTGTACAAATAGCTAAAATATAGCCTGGTAAAAACCAGACCCTTGTCCTTCGGAACTGCGTAGGAAGCCAAGGGCCAGGCAAGCTAAAATGGAAAAGTGTGAATAAAGGATGCTTGTAGGCAAACTCAGTCCTTGAGGGTCATTATCCTGCATGTTTCACTTGTCTCTCTGCTCCAACACACCTGATTTGAATGAATGGGTGATTAATCAGCTTCTGCAGAACTGAGAAAAAGTAATTCAATCACTAAATCRGGTGTGTGGCAACAGAGAAAGAAGTAAAACATGAAAGAAAAGATGTCCTGAGGACTGCTGGTAGGATCATACTATATGAAAACAGAAAGTAAGAATACCTGCTTTTATACCAGAACAAATACACAAAATTAGGTAATAAGGCTTCTCATTAACCACAGTGTGAAAGGGTTTCATATTTGCCAAGTTAAGCTAAAATATGAGGCTACAGATGATAAACAGTTAAGAGCCATTTGTTGTAATTATTGCACGTATGTGTGGATGTGTATACGTATATGTCTGTGTATATGTGTGAGTGYGTGTATGTTTGTGTGCATATGGGTACATACATATGCTTATGTTTGGTTGCTGGGTGTTTGTTTTCTTCATTTTCTGATGGTCAGATGTCAGGTGTGTTGTCTTGTGTGTTATTRKTGTACATTTTACGTCGTCGAATTTTTATCAGTTTCTCTCTTTACAGTTCTTATATTTCTCTTCTTTTCTTTTTATTCTTTACTATAGTGTAAAAAAAGTCACTGATGATGCAGAAAATAAGAAAGTAACATTCAGTTCTGTTTTCTACTGAAGTGGCTTAAAAAAGAAGATGGCGGCGATGGAGGCAGATGTATGTAGCTGTGCAGTATCGCTGCAGGAAAATACATCCCATTTGRCTTTACAGGCATCTGCARGTCTGTTTTTGACCAAATTTACCTCAGCTTTAGTGTTGCTGTTACTCTGTATGCTTCATAAACGGAAGATCAAAGACGCAAATGACGAACATCATTTTCAAAAAACAACAGCACCCAAGCGTCCTATTGTGTGTATACAAGCATCGACCATAAGTTATCCTAACTTTGGTAAATATCATCTACCTTGCCGGTTGGGCTGGTTTCTCTGGCTTGCTGCTGTTGTGGCGTGTCTCGGTGGAGTGGCGGATGTGGATGGAGTCCCTCGGCCCTCGGATTGTCCCTCATGTTTGGATGGAGCGCCTGGGGTGGACTTGCTGGCCTGGACGCGTGGTGGTGGGAACCGGGACGGAGCGACTAATCTAACAAGTGAGGCGTACCAGCTTCCCTGTTGCCTATTTGGATCAATATCAAACGTGCCCTGTTTTTCGGTTGAGGATCAAACTGGAGCTACTGGTTTTGGTGAGCATGCTTGTGTCCGACATGGTGGGAACCATGTTATTCAAGCCTTGAAGTGTACGCTATTCAGCGAAGAAAAGAACAGCGAGCTACTGACTGGCTTCAGAACCTCACCTGATCGGGTAGTAATTTTGGTTTATGTTACTGTTTTTCATCAGTGGACAAAAGACATTAGTGCTAAAGGCACGGATATAACAGACTCTGTTTTAACCAGTCAGAAACAACATTTAAGACTTCTGTTTAATATTCTTTTAGTCATTGGAAATATTGAACTAATCCAGGTCCAGATGAAAATGTTTTACGTATGTCCACTTTTTTATATTTTATGGGATTTTATACATAAGTTTTTAATAATTATCTTGACCTGGGTTTGTACACAGGTGTATCTTATATAAATCCAACTCAATTACAGTCTACACAGGGATCTATGTTATATCCTGAAAAGGTTAGACAACCTCCTGTTACAGTATGTCAAGTCTGAACACTACATCAGTAAGAAAGCAAAAATGATTTTCCTGTCTTAAAATAAAACCAGGGACGCTAAATCAACTAGGTAAAATTAGAGGCTTTAAAATCTGTCATTTAAATATGAGAAGTCTTGTACCTAAACTGGATGAATTCAAAGTAATACTTGCTCAGACACAAGCACATGTTATGGCTATATCAGAATCATGGCTGACTCCTGTTATACCAAATTCATTTCTTTCAGTTGAAAATTATTCATTGTATCGTAGAGACCGTACTGATAGGTTTGGAGGTGGTGTTGCAGTTTATGTTCACAAGAAATACTCACATTTTATAACAGAATTGTCAACTGAGTCTGAATTTCTGCAATTAGAAGTCAAGCTTACAAATCACCTTTCAGTAACGGTTGTTGTTACATATAAACCTCCAAGTGTTAATTCAACTAAATATTTAGCGCAGCTCACTGACATAAAAGGCATAAAATCAAAAGAGTTTGTGATTCTTGGTGATATCAATATGAATTGGGCTGATAAAACTTCCAAAGGCCTGAAAGCAATGTCTATAAACTTRGRGYTTCAACAGTTAATTAAAGTACCAACAAGATTTGGCAAGACATGCAATTCCATTTTGGATCTTATTTTCACAAATCGATCCTCCATATTTGGTATATCTGGAGTTATAAATACTTCAATCTCGGATCATTCACTTATTTATGTCATTAGAAAAAACCTTAAGAAACCTACAGGTCGTGTGTCCATATCAGACACAATTTGGCAAAAAATTATTCAAAATACGTATATATTCGTCCTCAGTATGTGTGAAACGTTATAGTTCAATTCAAGGTAGTACATCGTCTACAC